CTAATTCTTTATTTATTTATTTATTATTAGTTTATTAATATTATTAGTCTCTTTCTATTTTGTCTTTGAAATAATTGTCCGAATAATAATTCGAAGAGCCATTTACGTATATATATATATTTAATCTCAGGGAGTTCCCAACACTCCACCTTTGCGTCATAAAAAATGCGATGTATTGATCGCCGCCGAGGAGATTACGGATTTGTTAGGCACGTGAATCATCTTCGTCTCGTCTCTTCTTCTTTCATAAACAAAAATGAGTCATTCAGTATATATACATATATAAATTAAAGAGGACGAGCGTTGATCATGACCGTGAAACGACTCCGCAAACCACTCGCTTACGCAACATGTTATCGCTGATACTTCTTCGTCTCGTCTTTCTCTATCTCGAAAAAGATTCCGTTACGGATTTATATAAGTAATTGTATGTGTTATATTACATAAAATCAAATGGATTACGTCAAACATATGATACAATTAGAATGTTCGGAAATTACATCCGAATTACATCTTTTTATAAATATTTAGAGGAGAAAAGAAATTAACGATACATCGGAATTTTTTATAAGATTATATATGTATGCGTTCTTTCAATGGAAGCTTTAAAAGAGGCTATTTCTTGTAGCTAGATGTTTTAATATTATGTCAGTATTATATACATATGATAAATACACGTTCACATTGATACTTTTATTTAATATTAAAACAATTAAGATCATTTATTCATACATGAACGGGTAATTTAAATCTTATTGATCGATGTTGCACATAAAAAGATGACGCGTACACCACGTAGATTCTGCGCAGCAGAAATTTCAATCGGTGCAATAAGTTTGTATTCTTTGTAGCTGAATTCTTTTCCCTTCTCTCCAATCTTTAATTAAATATCTATTTCATTTAAAGCGTAGAAAATAGAGTAATGCAGCTACAAAAAACAGATCTAATATGTGCATGTACATTCTAAATTTACAAACGCTAACGATATTTCCACTTTATGAGTAGTGCATATAATATGAATAAGCGAACGATATTATGTATTACAAATAATCGTTTTAAGTAACTTTATCGTTATTGAATACTGTTCACATCTTCATATGTCACAAAACAATAAGATTATCTTGACTAACGCACGCCTCTGTCGATTCATTTAGCATCAAATACTGTTGCATTGATTCAATGTCTAGCAAACAAAATTTGTCATGTATGTACAATTTATCGATTGTTTGATTACATTAAAAATAAACTGATATAGCAATGTGCAGAGATACATATATTAAACATAATATATGTAAGCTTTTTTTGTATATATCGCCAGCTGCCAAATCTAGCATACCTAATTAAATTTTCGTTTTCTTTACGCAAATTGTATAATAAAATTTATACAAAATAAACCAGACCTACTTATAGAATCATCACATAAAATCCATCATTTTTATATTATTTGAACATTAAAATAATCAAGAAACATAAGAGTTATTAATGTTTCTCGATCTGTTTAAATCATGATTCAGGGCCGGTTGTTTCACCTTTTGGTAAATTTTACCTGTTAGGTAAATCTGGCAATCCACGCATGTGATTGGGTAATCTTGCTACTTACTCAACAGGTAAAATTTACCAAAAGATGGAACAACCGGGTCTCAAAGTATTACAAATGGTTTGTATTCACACGAATATTTTAAGGACAAGATTAGCAAGCAATCTTGTCCCTAAAATATCCATGTGAATATATACGGTATCTTTCATATCCTGATCAAACATTGCAAGTCCAATCAGATGATATAAAAAGTATTAGCATGTTACTATTTAAAATTAAATTTCTATAGTAACAGATTCAAAAAGAAGTAGAGTATATATTTTTCTTGTTCATGGCCATGTTATCTTCTGACGTTTTTTCGGTAGAGATTCCTGAAAGGTTCAAATACATCTGCTGTTATTCACTTATAAATTAAGATTATTATAAAACTTATAAAATACCACACCTCAATAGAAACAAATAATCTTTGTAAATATTTCATTCTGTGAACTTACATGTTGAATAAAAAATCTTATCTCAGAATCTTATTTGTAGAAAACTCAAACTTTATCTAGAGGTAAGACTTAGTCTTACCTCTCTTACCTTATCTAGAGTTATTTGACTTATCTGAACTATAAAGGATTAAGATATGTATACCTCGCTCTGTTCTCCATAATTGCGTTTATAAATTCCATTGCACCCAATTTCTTTTGGGGTTGAACATAATCGAATTTTCTTGCTCACTGACTTCTGATCGTTAAGAAAAGGTTTTGTATCTATCTGAGATTGAGATGTTTGGAATATCCTCTTATTTCCTTTGTTCAAGTCTGCAGCTAAACTGTGCGTATCATTATCACTAAAAGAAAGACAAATTTAATGTTAACACAGTATAAAACATGTATTCTTTGTTATCTTTATTTAAGATATTATTTTCCTAAACAATATATTCTTTACATAAAAAAACTTGCCTTATAACTGTAATGGAGTTCTCTGATATCATATCTATATTCTTTGCATTTCCATGTTGCCGCTGAGGTAAAGGCATTGCAACTCGTTTGTACATTTCCAGCAATTCACTTTTACATAGTTTTTCAAACTTAAGAATCTCAATGCAACTCTATAATGAAAAAAGATATGAAGATGTAATTGGACATTATAAAATATGTCTGAAATTTAAATATTAATGGTATGTTTTTATTATAAATTATTCCTGTAACAAATATCATATCATTTATAAATAATAATTTAGAGAGAATATATTATTCTGGTTTATAAATTTATATAAAAATATAATTCATAAAATCTACTTTGGATGACATTTAACCTAAATTTGTGTCATGTTAACATTTGTTGAAGTCTGAAGTAATTCAGACAATGACTCCCACGAACACTAAATTATCTTCCAATAAAATCGGATAAGAAAACAAAGAAAAATTACAGATAAGTCAAGAGAAGTTTGTAAACATACCTAACCTATGCGACAACTTACGTTCTTCAGAATCTCGCGGAGCTGATGCTCTGACAGCGATTCTGGATGCGTGAGCTCGTACGAGTCCAGTTTACACATTGTCTGCGCTTCTTTGGGTCAGAAGAAGAAATCACAGATGGTCATCTCACGACGGTCATTTCATACAAGCGGCGCAATTCAGTCTGAATCGTTATCGCTCATCGTTATCACTTCCCACTATATAGGACGTATTGTACGCCGCGCCGCGAGTCATATGGGGAAACAGACAGCTGTTGCAAATTTCCGATTAATCATCGTTAATCATCAAACTATTATACAATTATAATTGCTGCACAGTAATAATGATTCAAGATATATGTTGCGCATCTGGAGAAAATATAAAAAAACGAAATCTAATATATGTAACTATTTAAATACGGTCTCTTTTTCAGCGTTAAAATTACAAAAAGATTAGTCCAATCTAGACAGAAAACGTGGAAACTTCATATCTGAGATGTTTAAAATAATTAATAATTATATATAAATTATATTATTCCAAAACGTAAAATTTCAGGAATTCTTGGAATTGTCACTTTCCACATTTTTAAATTAAAACCACTTCTACGTCAACGTATTTTTTTTTAAATATTTTGTTAATTTTTTTGAAAATTCAATGCGGCTCGAAAATCTAGAATTGAAGAAAAAATGTTTAAAATTGCATTTAGTGCTACCTCTTATTATATTGTTATTAGTTAATTATTATGTTACTCTGATATCTTATCGATTTTTTTAATTAAAATTTTTATCGGTAATAGACCTTGATAATTATGTGATATTGTAAGTATATAGATCTTGATAATTGTGTAATATTATAAGTATATATATAGACCTTGATAATTATATAACAATTATAAATGAATTATAGACAGTCGACAAAATCACTGGTAAATTTACCAGTCACAAATAATTATCGACTAAATATCAAAATAACATAATTAAGGGGATGCTGGAGTGACGGTCGAAGTTAATCAAGGTCGATAGTACAGACTTTTTTTAAATTCTAAATTCGACAATAGTGACATCTTTCATTCATTTCTTATACTTATTATATATTGTTGTGTCTCACTCAAACGCATTCATCTGTCCTTATCTAACATATTGCAACGCCATCTCTTAGAAAGAGGTCAACAAAAACACTGGTCGGTTTCATGGCTAAACAGTCATACATCGTCGATTTCTCACGCGTTAGACACAATTTCGTTCCTTGCGCTAATCTTTTTATTTAGGCGTCAAAACTTAATTCTAAAGATACGACTGTAATCGTCTATTTATTCTACATGTGCTCCTGCCCTAATTTCGAGCATATAACGTGCATATAATTTTTTCACGAAGTAAATGTTTGGTGAGCTG